GAAAAGTCTTAATACGCCAATGATAGGAACCATAACACTTATTATTTTATAATTAATATCATAAATCTAATAACCAAACTAAGAACATACGAAGTTAGGTTTTTATTTTGAATGGAAGGAAAGTATGTCTATTCTTCTTTTTAATTACTGATAATAGGTAAGTTAAAGTTTGAAATAACATTTTCCTATTAAAAAAAATCATTCTGTATAAAAGAAATTTTTCACATATTATTATTGTTACAGAATCACAATTGCATTGCTGATTACTTTCGTTTTTTCTTCCTATCTAGGCCGCTCTGATTAAGACTTCGTCTGACGCACGCCCACGAGTAATTGGTAAAAACTGTTGCGAGTTGCTCTTTGAGATTTCGTATTATTGCATCAGGAACTGTGGTTCTATAATAAGAAATAAAGATATATATAAAAAAAAATCATAGAAATAAGGCAATTAATCATTAATTAAAAATTTAAAACCCGTCCCGCCCCTTAACCCATCGCAGACACAAGGGAGGGGGAAATTATTACCCCCTGACAAAGTTTTTAAATTATTTAAAGAGTATGACTAAGTAAAAAGTAAAAACACTTGAAATTTTAACTACTTGCTCCAAATATTTAAGCGAATTTAAGTAAAAAAAAAAATTCATTTATAATGCCTAATCTGAGCATATTAGTCAAATCCATGGATCGATTCGGTCAAACGAATGACTGGTCAAAAACTTAAATTTTGATTTCTGGCTTTTCTTTGTAATCCTGAAGTTTCATATTTTCCAAGAAGCTTTTTTTTATACTTACATATTTATAATTATTTCAATAAATGAAGTATGAGAAGTTGTTAGTCCAAGATCCTACTTTTTTGGATCTGGATCATGATCCAACAAGTTAAACTAATTGATCGCATATTTTCAAAATAGGTTACGAAAAATAGAAAATTTAATAAAAACCCAAGCACTGAAAGTATGATTTTCTAAATAACCCCCTCTAACCCTGTGCCAACAACATAAAAAATAGGTAAGCCTTAAAGCTGCTGCCCAATAACATTACCTACATAATATAACAATTTTTACATAATTGTTATATATTTTTAAATAATTGTTATATATTTATTTTACATAATATGTAAAATAAATATATAACAATTTTTAATATTAATTTTTATTATTTAATTAGAGTATAGTCTAAATACAATAATAATTATTAATACAAAAAAAAATTATGCATATTTATGTTACCAAGTTTATAAAATTTTCATAAAATCCATAATTTAAAATAATCATGACATAGCAACTATTTATATATTTCTTTAACAAAAATTAAAAAGATATTAGATTCTCAAACAGCATGTTCATTATAATGATTTAAATGCGCTAGTGACGTGATTTAAATGCGCTATTGGAAGGCATTACGAATTGCGGGAAAATAAATAGCACTTGAGTGCTATTTATTTTCCCGCAACTCATAATGCCTAATGATTTAAATCACGTCACTCTACGACTCAATTTACTCAGAAAGTCACGCAATTCAATGTACACTCTGATTGCGAGAAAAATTTTTAATTCAACTAGATTTTTTTGGTAATAATTTAATTTTAACGTAAGGGACAGATTGTCCCGGGCGGCAGATTTCCAAGGGGCACCAAATAGAATGAAGGTACCTTGGAACAAAGGTCCTTTACCGCTAATATAGGAGAATTTCGATAATTAAGAACGCCAATCATGTTGCTGTCCCGGGCGGCAAAACAGTTCTTTGCGGCATTTTATATATATATATATATATATATATATATATATATATATATATATATATATATATATATATATATATATATATATATATATATATATATATATATATATATATATATATATATATATATATATATATATTTATATATATATATAGTTATTTGTTATTATTTAATTTTTTTACAACACTTTTATTTATATACATTCAATAAAAATAGTTTTTAATTATTTTGTAATTATAATATATTTTTATTTATTTCCATACTTATAATGTTGTGTAGCGCAGGTGGTAAGGCACTAATGGTCTAGTGATCCGGGTTTCGAAACCCACCACCGGTAAGTTTTTCATTTTTCAAAATAAATTAAAAGGATGGAAAATCTTGCGAATCCTTTAAAATACCCTATGGATAATCACAGGATTTCTTACGGTCCTATAGGATTTGAAAGACAAATAAAATCTTACAAATCCTGTAAGATATCCTGTAGGATAGTATAAGATTATATGCGATCCTATAAGACTCATAAGTTGTCTGCAAGATAGTCGACTAGTGTACTGGACCAAAGATTAAGAACATTCAACTATCACTCATTTGAGTTTGGTGAGAAAAGTATGAAGATGTGGCGTTATTTCAATATCGGTGAGGGAATTGAACAAGAGTATGGAAATCTTAAAATTCAACCCTCGATTAAGTTGTTGTTGCCATATAGCAAAACAGATAATTCAATTAAGCGTAACAAGTCACTTAAGGAAAAACAGAAAAGAAGTGACAGGCAATTATATTCATTAAGATTTTGCACTGAAATGAATTGTACTTTATCATTTGAAAGCGATGCTGAGTTAGAAGAACACATGCTATCCAGTCTTCATACAATCCGAAATCATTAACATCATTGGATAAAGTTCGCAACTCGTTTGTTCATAAGATGAAAATTACTTCACAACTAAATATGCCAATTTCTTCATCCTCTAACAGTGCTTCCGTAAAAGACAAACCACATTGCATGAACATTTTTCTATTGCAAGGTTGGGCATTACCAGTTCGAAGTTCTTTTAGATTTTCAATTCAGAAGAAAGAACTGTTGTATAAATACTTTATTCGTGGAGAAGAATCAGGTAATAAAATGAGCCCTGAGCAGGTTCACATGCAGCTGAGGAGAGAACTTCCGCCCGATCAATATGTAACAGCCAACAGATAAGATCTTTATTTTCAAGGTAGGCATTGTTGCTATCAAAACTTTTGCAAATTAGATTATGTTTCTGACCGTTAAATAGTTCTTTTACAAATATGAAATTAAAATTTAGGTGAAAGTTATAATTTTGTGTGCTTGTTTACATATGTTTAAAAATATGTACAATTGATATTGTTATAGATTTAGTAACCTGAAAAGAAAAGGTAAGCTGGTAGAACCGACAACAGAAAATAATGAAAATAGTCAGGTTAACGATAAAAAAGAAGTTTATGGCGAAAGTGATGACTTTAATCTGACAGGAGACAATGAAGATGATAATAAATATGAGGAAGACATCGCCAATCTTGCAAAAGAAATTTGTCTTGTATGGAAAGTGAATGATTGGGTTGCTGTTGCATATGAAAAACAATGGAATATTGGATATATTGTGGAGGTAATATTATTCAAAGTATATATTAGTTTCAAGTTTTTATTTTGTTTTACAAAACAGTGCTCTAAAATAAAAGGAGTATAAATAAAATGTAAAAATAATTTCAGAATGACATTATATAAAACTTTACAAGTTTTATTGAATGTAAGCAAAATTAAACAAATCATAAACTCTTTATTATATTATTTTAAATGTTGCACTAATACTTTTAGGTATCTATAACTGGGATCAGAGTTAATTGTATGATTAACGGGCAAGAGAAGAATACTTTTCGCTGGCCAGTTACTACCGAGGAGATAAATAACCAAACTGATAAAATTATCTGTTTAGTAAATGCTCCTTTTCTAATCAGTGGTTGTGGCGATTATTCATTATCCGAAGAAGACTATAATACAGTCATATCATTATTCTTAGAGAAACTTACTGCAGCAGAGTAGAAATTATGTGTGATGTGGTGGATAATGTGTGTAAATGACTCTATTAATAAATGAAAAACTAATTTTTAAATGGAAAAACATTTAAATGTTTGATTTATGCTTTATTTAATTAGCAAAATAGTTACCTTGATGTTAGATTTTTGTTCAGTTTTTAATTCATGTTATATCATGCGTGTGACAAAATCACACGAATTTTTTTTATTATTATGTTAGGACCTTTTTGTATTGACAGTTGGATATGTTTACATTTTTACAAAACTAAGCGCCTATGCCGTAATGGTTTATTTTGTAAGTATACTAAACCATTTTTTTACAATTTCAAGCCTTAATATATTAATAGGCCTTAGGTATCACATAACTTTCTTTGCATTTTTAGACTCAATACCTTTGATAATTTCAAATTCTAAAAGAAAAATTGTGTGCAACACTTCGCTGCTAGAATTAACTCCGATTAAAAATTGTCAAAACTGATTGATTTTGTACTTTTGAACTATGATAATTAGCCAACCGCACAGTGTCACGCAACTTTTTAATATTTTTTGGAGAGAGCTTTTGGATTACGTCTGATATTTACTACAAAAGCTATGTGCAACTTTTTGCCTTGCCAAAAAAATGGGTTCAAAGGTGGCAAAAACTAAACTTCTAAAAATTTTTAAAAAAATCTCAAAAATTTAAGCCCAGATTCCGAGTGAACGAAACATTTTTGAAATTTTTTTTTTTCCCTAACAGGTTTTCTCTATATTCTGATCAATATATTAAAAATTTAAGCAATTTGGACGAGGTCACTTCCACAGTTTCAGGAATTTGCCTGATTCTTAGAAAAAACGGCTCTTAACTTGCTTTATATAGTGAATATAATTTATAGTGAATATAGTGTATATAATTTATTATATTTTATATATTATGGATACTTTGTAAAAAATCACGCAAATTGTAGGGGCTTGACGACAAGACTTATGTCTTCTACTTGCTCCTGTCATTCTTTATATTTTTATTTATTTTATTAAACTTGGAAACGAGAACAATGTAAAATGCTTATATATGACGAAATAAATAAATAAAAATAAAAATAAAAATTTGAAAATCGCTCTCTTTGGGAGGTTAAGACCCCTCACACACACATCCGTAGAATCGCGCCTGGAAGTTGATTACAACTACATTTTATGATTATAACTAAGGCTTGTGAGTTTATTTTTAATTTATATAAATATTTTTCGCCAGAATTGGCTCTGCTTTCTTCTGCTGCTTTATTCATTTAAACTGACAACCTAACAGGTAACTTTTTCAGTTTGAACTCACTGGTCAATTTATGGTCAATTTTAACTTCGTTTAATTAAACTCAATAACTTGCGTTTACTTGTATTGATAAAACTCGCGATATCTCGCTCAGCTGATGATGTGTAAACACTTCAAATGATCAGTTGAAAGTGTTGATGTTTACGAAAACATTAAAAACTTATTGTTGATAATAATATTTGAAGAAAGAAATATAATTTGGCGTTTATTAACACAAATTTAGCTTAATTTAAATTTTTTTATTATAATAATATTTTTTGACGTGTTAAAGCATTCAAGTATATTTAATATATAATTTATATATATATATATATGTATATATATATATATATATATATATATATATATATATATATATATATATATATATATATATATATATATATATATATATATATATATATATATATATAAATATATATATATGTATATATATATATATATATATATATATATATATATATATTTATATATATATATATATATATATATATATATATATATATATATATATATATATATATATATATATATATATTTGTTTAGTTAATATTTTTATACTATATATTTGTTTGTGTATTCTATAAAAGGAATAGTGTACTCAATGTTCTTAAAGAACATAGCAATTATAAAAATATATAAATATCTAACTTTTTTTCTAATACCAATTTTTTTTTCAAGCTTTATATATTTTTATGTTATTAATTTATATATTATGTGATATATTGTTTGATAAAGTTTATATATTTTTATGTTATTGATTTATATTATGTGATATATTATTTAACTATACTAAAATAGTCTGAAGTTATTGTCTTACATGATTTGTCATATCAAGTCTCAGAGTTGTATATTGAAATTTCCATTCATACTATATTTAAAGGGATTTGTCTTACAATTATTTTATTTGTGTACAATTATTTTCTCCTCATTCAATTTTTTCCCTCAGGAACTTTGACAATACTAATAGTTTTGTAAAGTAATAACATCATACTTTAGTATATCTAAGATCTATTTCTTAAAACCTTAAATATTTAGTTAGATGCCTATGTTATATATATTTTTTGCAAAATTTTAAAGAAGTTTGAAACTATATGGAAAAATTAATTATAATTTAAAAAGTACCATGTTGATTTTTTTATTTACTTACAACTCTTTTTATATATAGGGAAATATTTTGAAAATGTTACTTTTATATTTCATCGTTAGTCACTTAAAGTTAAAATTATTTGAAAAAGAATGATTTAAAAAACAAAATTGAAATTAAAAAAAAGTATGAAACAAATAAAAAGTTATATTCTAATCAAAGTTATTTATTTATAATATCTGAGTAAGTGTCACTTATTTATCATTTACTGAGACAATTTTTAAAGCTCTGTAAGTTTTATAAGTTCTAATTTTTTTTCTAATTTTTCTAAACTTGACTAAATATAATTAGAATTTAGATTATTATCATGTTTTGATAGATAATCATTTTTTTTATAAACTAAATCTATAAAACTATGGGTAGTGTAGCAAAACGAAGTTAATAAATGTGTGTGAAATTATGTAAACAATTATTTTTTATTATTAATTACTTATAGTAAATAATTAATTATTATTTAATTGTAAATATCAAAGCACTAGTCGTTTTTATAATTAAAAAATTATGTCCAAATAGTTATACATATATATATATATATATATATATATATATATATATATATATATATATATATATATATATATATATATATATATATATATATATACAGTGGCGGATTAAGACTTTTTTTTTTGGAGGCCTTTTTATGGGCCAGAGCCTAAAAATGAGTAAAAAAAAAAAAATTTTTTTTGGGGCTCCTCTAGCCCCCTTGATCCCGCACTCTCTCTCTATCTCTCTCTCTCTCTCTCTCTCTCTCTCTCTATATATATATATATATATATATATATATATATATATATATATATATATATATATATATATATATATATATATATACATGTATATAATATCTATTAGACTGTCATTATCTATTAGACTGATATAGATGTATTATGTTAGACTGATATAGATATATTATGTTGCAAAAAAGATATTGTATTCTTTCAATTCAAATATATCTTTAAAAATTTTTATTGAACTATTTTCAGCAACCATTGCTCCTAATATCTCATCATGATGTTTGTTTGTTTGCTTTATTTTTTCTGTGCTTTGAATGTTTGTTTTAATGTAACACTAAGGAAGCTTTTTGTGCTTTGAATGTTTGTTCTAATGTAACACTAAGGAATCTTTTTGTGCTTTGAATGTTTGTTTTAATGTAACACTAAGGGAAGTTTTTTTTTTTTTTTTTTTTTTTTTTTTTTTAATTTGCATTCACTCCCAACAAGGCTGCAAGCAACCACTATCAAGTTGGGAGTTACTAGGAAAAAAAAAGACAGAGTTATAGAGTAAGGAAACGGTTGAGTTTTCTACTTATTGAAATAATTGAAATCTTTGCAAATACATCATGAGCATACAATTTCAAGTGAAGCATGTACTCCACAAAGTTTTTTTTCTTTGTAGAATATATCAAGTTTCATTCAAAAACTGTGTTCAGTAATTAAATCAAATAAAGGTTAGTCTAATATTAACTTTCAAAAATTTCTAAATAAGCTGAAATTTAGCACATAATCACGTTATATCATATAGTAACACCTAAAAAAAAAACTTTCATTTTTACGAGTTAATGACATTTTTCCTTAATTTCCTTTTAAATAATGAAAATAAAAATAGCACACATATTTAAACTAACAATTTCTTTTTTTTTTTCTATTTAAATTTATATTAATTTTCTATCTTTTTAGTTTTGCTTTCTTTGTTAACAACAATTTGAGTAAAACGTTTGAATCTAAAAGTGATTTGAATATCTTTAAAAGTTTGAGTTCATCTATTTTATTTTTATAAAGCAAAAAAATGTAGTAATAAAAAACAACTCTATGTTCACGAAATAAAAGCAAGTTAAAACTAAGAAACATGTAAGGTTAACATAATATTTATTTTAAGATAGAAAAGAATGCATCTCTCAAAAGCAGTATTAAATCCAATGACTCTTGGTACAAAGGGATTAAGAAGAATTAGACATCTTTATATTGAGAGGGATTTTGAAAAAATAAATAGAGAAATTAATTTAAAAATCAAAGAGATGAAAAACATATTTGTCCATGAGAATTGTTACCAAACATTTATAGACAAAAGAAAATTGAAATCATCAGTGGATACTTTTGACTGGAAAAACCAGTGTTTTATCTGTGGCCTTCCAATGGATTTATGCCATCTTGAATGAAATCCAGTGTTGATTGTTACTAGATTGGAACTAAAAGAAAACCAAATTTAATGTGTGCCTTGAAGTACTGTTGAAGTACAATTAATCCATTGGAAAGCCAATCGATAATAGCAAAAAGTCTGTGCTTGAAAAAATATGTCAATGGTTAGAGGAACATGATGACAGTGAGTACACAGTGAATGAATTGATTGAGCAATACAGAGGATACAACAAACTATTCACCAAAACATTTGTTGAAGAAGCGTTACAGAGGTATAATTAGTTTTTCTGAAATGGCTAGTTGATCTGATTCTCTCCCAACAAGGCTGCAAGCAACCACTATTAAGTTGGGAGTTACTAGAAAAAAAGAATAGAGTTATAGAGCAAGGAAACAGTTGACAGAAGACTTAAAAAGTTGAAGGTTGTTTGAGTCAGGAAAACATGAAGATGGGAGAGAGTTCAAAAAGTTTGAGGTGTGGGGGGAAAAACTAGGCAAATAAAAGTTTTTAGAGCATGCAGGGACAGATACAGTAAAAGAATGAGACTTTGCTGAATGAAGAATCAAGCGAGAATGAGTTTTAGTTGATAGAACTAAAGATGATAGCTCCTTTTAGCAGCGACCATGATAGTATTTGTAGAAAAAAGAAAGATATGCAACTTTACGACGATGGCAAAGAGGCTCAAGCTTAGCAGTAAGAGCGTGTCCAACTACCTTTACAATGTGTTTTTGGATCTTTTCTAGGAGAGAAAGAGCATCATTAAAAGAACTATCTCAAATATGACAACAGTACTACATACAGGGACATATAAGAGATTTGTAAAGGTAGAGAATGGAATCAGGAGAGAGAAAATGGTGAGTACAATAAAGAGAAGCAACTTTAACAGATGCTAAATTAGCAATCGATTGTATATATGGTTTCCATGAAAGGTCACTAATACTATAATCCTTACTACAATCCTATGATACCCTTAGTTATCTTAGGCAATGAATCATTTAATTCGATTTAATTCAAACTTTTATGTACAGAAGCATGTGAGGAATGTCAAACATGTGCGAACTCATATAACGTAAGAAAAATGTACTACAGTACATATAACGTATAAAAATGTACTACAGTACTATATTAATATTATAAAAATGTGTCAAAGAAGGCGTTTAATTAATTTATTCCTAATTTTTTATCTTTATCTTTAAGAACAAGTGCCACAGTCGAGAGAGGACAACAGCAAAAGTGACAAAAGTGACAAAAGCAACAACAAAGAAGTATTCAAATGAAATATTTTTGGCATATTCTAATTGTTAATTTAAGTTTTAATTTTTAATTGTTTCACTTTTTTAAGTTTGTCAAAATAATTTTTAATTAATGTGATTCTATTATAAACTTATTTTCTGATGTTAAAATATAAAGTGAAATAAAACATTATGGAAAAATGTGAATAATTCATTTTCCCCAAGGGCTATCAACCAGTTTTTTTTTTTTTTTTGGTATTACTATATGATATTACAAGTTTAAGTGCCAAATTTCAGCTTATTTAGAATTTTTGCCTGGTAATGGAGTTATTTTTGCTAAAATGACTGGACTATTTAGACAACAAATAGTAAAAGAGCAGTTGTTATCTTCTTGTTTCATTTTTCTTAACTTTTTAACTCAACGTTAAAAATCTTTACAACCTTACTGATAGCCTTTTCTATTTAAAAAATAGTTTGACATGCAGCTTCTATAAGTTAGAAATGGGCAAGAAATAGGGTTCCAACTAAACTCCTAGGTCTACAAATTATATCAGTTAAATCAATAAATTTTTTTTTCTCCAAAGATTTTAATTTTGACATTTTTTGTCTTTATTAACACAAGAGAAACTTTCATTCCTTTTTTTTGTATGACATCTTGCTTTTTTTTTATAACTATTAGTTTTTTGCATCATATTTGATGAAAAAAAAAACAACCCACTATGATGCAAAACAATCTCTTTTGACCTTTTTTGACCTACTCAATATTCAATATCGTACCATCTATATGATTAAACCAATAGATCTGTGATTCAAGAATTTAATACAATATTACTTAGTGAATAGCTTTGAACAAAATCTTGTTGGAAAATGATGTAGCTTGTGTGCATTATTCTCACAGTTTACATGTGCATTTATGTATGTTTTTTTTTAAATTTTTTAAATTTTTTTTGAATAGATTTGCGTTAGTGGTGTAGTGGTATAGTGCTCGCTTCATAAGCGAGAGGTTCTGAGTTCGATCCCCACCACACCCCTGGTAGTACCGCGCTCAACTTGTTTCTCTGTGCAGCGGCCTTAATCGTCCAGGTTCGTGTTTCAGAGTTATAGAGTTAAGAGAGGGTTATAACCACAAAAAAGTAGCCTCCTTGTCTGAAGTGGCCTTCTCGGCCTTGAAGAGGTGAACAAAAAAAAAAATAAAAAAATGAAAATAATTTGTTTTTTAAAAAGTTATAAGTGTGTGTTCAATACTTTGTCTAACTTTTTAATATTTTGAATTTTTACCATTTCAAACAAAGGTTGCATTTTGTAATATAATAACTAATCTAGTAAGTTATAAGAATCTTTTCTTTAATACAAATATGATTGATATAATGAAAATAATAATATTAACACTATAAGTGTAATATTAAATGTATTTAGTGTATAATGTTGATGCAATTTATATAATTATTTTTATATGCAAACTATTTAGTATTAAATGTCATAAATAATGAATAAACTTATTGGAAATGGAATTGAAGACGATATCAACAAGTTTAATAAACCAGACATTACGAAATGTTTTTTTAACGAAAATAAGCTAAAGGTTAGTTTTTTTTTTAAAAAAAAAAAAAAAGTATTTTGTTATTTTTTGGTTTGGATAACTCTTTAATATATATATATATATATATATATATATATATATATATATATATATATATATATATATATATATATATATATATATATATATATATATATATATATATGTATAAATTGAGAGTTTATATATACATTTATTTTAGGAACAGCTACAAGCTTTGCAAGGTTATATAACTGATCTAAGTGAAGAGAATGATCTTTTGGTTGAAACTATTGAAGAACTTGAAAATGAGTCAAACTTACAGATATTTGATTTCGATAGTAAATTTTGTGAACTTAGTGCAATTATTGAAGTAATTAAAATTTGAACTTATTTGCATATTATATAAAATATAAAACTTATTCATATATATTTTTTTCATCATCATTATCATCTTCAATATCATCATCATCATCATCATTTTGTTATTGTTTTTATAAATGGGGTGATGATTAAATTGTTATTCTGATATGTTTTTAAACATTATTAGGAGTTGATCACCCCTAAAAATATAATAATCACCATTATCATATAACCCTAAAGTTTAAATTTATCATGAATTTTTTTTTTTTTATTAAACCGAATGTAAATTTTTACTAATTATACTTGAGTTAAAGCTTACTTGATTTCATGACAAATTTACAAAAAATCATAGTTTTTATTTTGTTATTGAAATAATTTTTAATAAAAAGAAGATGCAATTTTAGTTGTATCATAAGTATGTTGTAGAAGTTGCGTTACCGAATAATGAAGGTTGCAGTACCGATCGTTTGTAAAAATCTTGACTATTTGTTTATTTTAAGTCAAATTTCAGTAAGAAACCTTAATCCAAAGAATAATCTTCTTTTTTATGACAAAAGTTTTTAATTTTTTCAAAATTTCAAAAATAAATTTTGAGGTTTAACAAAAAAACTTTTTAGTTTTAAACAAAATACGCATATTTAATGGTGATTTACATGGATTACTTTTAATAAATCAAGTCAAACTTTTTGAATTTACTATATTTAATAATAAATTATTATAGAAGTTAAAGAGCTTTCTATGTAAGTCTATTTTTTTAAATATTGTTCCTGGAATAATTAGCAAACGTTTGGATAAGTACATGTCCAAAGGTGCTAAATTATTTTAAAAATCGGGTATCGAAAGACATCTTTTAAGAGCATTTTAGAACGCATAAGACAGATTGGACCCTTAAAAGAAAGTTTTTCTGGTGGCTAAAACCTTTAGTGTAAGATAATGTGCTCATTATATAATCAGTGAACTAGAAACAGTGAGTAGTTTATTATTACCTATAACAACAGGTAAAATGGTGGTATGGTGTTTAAAAACAGAGGTTTTTTAAACAATGCTGAAAAGTAAAAATTACACAATAAATTAAATTCATCAACTAAATTTAGGTTATATATGTTTAAAGAATCGTTCAAAATTGATAAGGTTTATACTGTATTATTCGGAAACATCTCATAACCACCCCTCTAACTTTTTATCATTCAAACTTATTTAAAAAAGTATTGTAGTTTTGATAGAAATATATTTTAATATATAAAACGTATGGTTACTGTAACAGTCTCTATATACCGCCTCAAGAAGAGGATGACGTGCCCGGTTAAGCAGAGATTTGATCTCAAGCATTGCACTACGTCATAAGTCTGCGTCAAATAAATTTCAATTATCTTTTTCAGCTGAAAAAGATAAGGAACTAACTATATATAGAAATTGTAATTAAAGTATATAAAGTAAATAATAATTGTAAAAGATGCATTCTAAAAATTCAGTCCTATTTCAGGCCTTGTTTCAAATAAAAAAAAGCTTAATGCATTAGCTTAACGAGATATTTGACGTCATAAAATTATCTTTATTTTTTTTTATAAACATTAAGTGTTTTAACTACCGCTATAAATAAATAACCGCTAACTAGTTCAATTTAACAATTAACTCAAATAACGATAAACGTTTTAAATATAAATTTATTATGAAAAGTTTGTTATGTTTTCAATTATTGTTTTAATATTACTTTTAGTTCAATATTATTTAGTAAATTAATATATATATATATATATATATATATATATATATATATATATATATATATATATATATATATATATATATATATATATATATATATATATATATATATTATTTAATTATTTCTGAAATTTGTTTTTGAATAATTATTGTTTATAAATCGTTATTGAATAAAAAATAATGATTTTTTTATTTTTAAAAATTTCTGGAATAAACAAGAAATATTAACATTGGTAAACAAAAACCCTTATTAATTATTTAAACAGCGATTTTGTTTTGACTAGCAAAGAATAATTTAGGTTTTTAAATATTTTTTTAAATACGCGTTTACAACGCGTTCACCAAGAATTTAGTTTATAAATTTTTTATGTTATCGTAAAAATAAATTACATTTTAAACAAATCACAAAAAAACAGAGCTATCGAGAAAAATTATTTTTAACAATTAAATCTTTTTTTTTTGAATTTTAGGAATTAAAAAAAAAAATTAAATTAAATATAAAAGTCTTAATTATGCAAACTCTTTTGTTAATTATTCTTAAAACAAAAAACAAATACTTCTATGCAAAATTATAATCGTGCAAACTTAAAAAAATACTCAACTAAAATAATATAAGTATATTTAATAATTTGAATCGAATCTGTTTATAATAAATGTTCGTTAAAATTTGTTCATTAAAATTAAGTTCCTTAACTTATAAATAAACTCAAAAGTATTTTCATTCTACGTATTATTACAAAACTCTTTTTTTTTTCATTTGAAAGCAATTTAACTTGAAATAATAAAATAAAAAAAGAATAAATATGAGGTAATCTTTGGTAAGAACAAATTTAATTAATTTATTGAACTGTTTTTTTTATTTTTATTTGTATACCAACTTAAATAAAATATAGTAACATGTTAAAATATTTTAACATGACTTGTGTCATTTATAAACGGTAGGGCAGCTGCCCTTACGGCACCATTGGTTTTGGATAATATTTTATTTTGATGAAGATCACATAACTTACATTTGATTTTAATAATGTAAGTCTTTTTTTCTTCTCTTTTTCTGTGATTTAAAAGTTTTCAAAGTAAATCTTTTGTCTTTTAAAATACAATCCATATTCGAACTTTAAACAATTTGGAGAGAATGGAAATATACTAGGTTTTTATATACTAGTTTGTCTTATTTTATAGAGAAAAATACATAGTCATTAGTAAAAAATAGAGACTGTCATTAAACTAAAGCATGCCTTAGTATTTATTTAACGGAGTCTGTAATATGCGCGTGCATAATGAAACCTCTGTTATATTAGTATATTCAACGTAGTATTAGTGTCATCAGCAGATGTTATAGTCTACTCGTGATTTTTTTACCTTATAATATAATTTGATTTATGAAAAAAAAAATTTATTGAATTGCACGAAGAAGAAATTTAACAAATTGTCTTCATTCAAAAATTGCAAGTAACATGTAATTTTTTTTTTCCCCGCATAACTTAAAGGTAAAGGTACCTGTAACTAATAAGAAAAGCAAAGAGTAATAATTAATGAAGTAATTTTTAGTACAATACAAATAGATTGTTCATTCATTGGCACATTTTTTTTAATATCTCGAAAAAATGTCTTAATATTTTTGTTATCATGATAACAAAAATATTAAGACATTTTTTGAGATATTTAAAAAAATGTCAACCCTTAGTTACAAATTTTTTGCAAATGTTTTTTAATATGAATTTAGTGAAAAACTCTTAAAAAATCTATATTACAAAAAACATATTCTGTATTAATAAATTTGGAATATAGATTTTTTAAAAGTTTTTTACTGAAAACTTTAAAAAATTACTACTTTTTATTAAAAACATTTGCAAAAAATTTGTAGTTAAGGGTTGACGAACAATTTTTCATGTTACTAAATAGATGAATAAAAAGTTTAGCATAAAATTAAATGTTATAAAAAGGTAAGATATATTGCGATGAAAAGTTACCACAATTTTTAACATAACTTCTTTTTTGTAATAAATATTTTTATCGTTATTCAAAAGTTAATGTGGTTTTTTTAAAAATTAATTACTTTTTTTTATGTTACCGCTAATTTAAAAGTTAAAAAATGATAAAAAGTAGCTTAACCAAAACAGCTCTACGCATACCTAAAAATCACTTTTTTGTTTTGTTTGTTAGTGAAATTTAGCATTTCGTAATTAAGGAACGATCCCTTGTAATAATGCTCATTGCAATAATGCTCCCCCCCCCTCCTTAAATAATGCCATTTTAGTGACTTACGGGATGTTGAGTAAGAATGTTAAATAGTTAAATCTAAAACCTATTTCCTCAGTTATATTAACTGTTTTAATTTTAATTTAAATCATTTTAATATAATTTGATCTATTTTGCAAAAAATATCAATTACACTTAGGCAGACAAGAGTTGTTTTTTTTAACAGAAAACAACATGTACCAATATACACTAAATACTGCAAATCTTTACTTTTAAATCAAATGAGCGAGTTTTTCATAAGAAATTTAACAGGTAAAACTAACAAGTAAAAATTTTGACTTGAATTTGGTAAAAACAAATACAAATCTTTATGAATGAAAAAGTTTTTATTTCAAAATTTAAATGCTTATAAAAAAGTTACAGCAAATTGCAAATTTTGTATAATATAAGTTGCTTTATTATACATCATTACTTCAAAACTTTAACCATTTTTTTTTATTTAATCAAAGTATAAAAAATCTAGAAATATTTCAAAGTAAGATTCATATATATATATATATATATATATATATATATATATATATATATATATATATATATATATATATATATATATATATATATATATTAGGGTGGCCCAAATTTAACACATTATTTACAATGCAGACTCCACAACCCTAAATGTGTTCTATACAATAACTTAATACTGGGGTTAAAAAATCTTCGAAAAAAATTATTTTTAGGGGTAGCTATAGTCTCTTAAACATCAGACGGACCCCTAATATTATCAAGAAATAATTTTTTTTTTTTAATTTTCATAAAATTTCACTTCTTTTGAGACCCAACATGATATACTTTTGAAGAACTTTTTTTCTTGATAATTGTCTGATGCTTAAGAGACTATAGCTACCCCTAAAAATACTTTTTTTTTCAAAGATTTTTTAACTCCAATAATATGTTATTATATAGAACACATTTAGGGTTTTGGAGTCTGCATTGTAAATGTGTTAAATTTGGACCACCCTAATATATATATATATATATATATATATATATATATATATATATATATATATATATATATAT